CAGTAGATTAGAATTTTAACTGCAGTCTATCCACACACTGTCTCTCCTTGCAGCTGAGACCTCTCAGCAGGGTGGGAGCAATACAGATCATTTCTACAGCTTGTAATTTGGAGAAGGGCTGTCTTATATCCCTATATATAGTGCTGTCTCATTTGCAAATTAAACCTGTATTTTATTTTCTTGCACGGTTTGATATTGTTATTGGCCAGTTGGATGCTTTCTCTCTATCATCCCTATGCTTTTAGATCAATCCGGTTGTGTTTGTCTCTGCTGTACACTTTAGTGGATTGCATCAGTTATATGCATGAGGATGATTTAGATGGTTTCTAAGCAACATATTAGTGTTCTATCTCTGGTCATACTGTGGTTAAAAAAAGAATTATGTGTATGTATGTGTATATGTATGTGTGTGTGTGTGTGTGTGTATGTGTGTGTGTATATATATATATATATATATATATATATATATACAGTATATATCTTAATTTTAATTTTACTGTATATATTACTGTAATATATACAGTAGATATCTTAATGTTATCTATTCTGATGTTTTACAGTACACCTGCAGGTTTGTGCTTTGCTGTGTTTTGTTGCGTTAAGCAGAACCACACAAAACAGAATTCAGCTCTATTATTGTCTTTGCACCGGCTGAGATTTTCCTTCTAAGCGGATGCATGTTGCCTGTGTGGGAGAACGAGAGGGGGATGGGAGAGAGAAAAAGAGGGATAGAGAAAGGGAGGAGAGTGGGGGTGTTGAGGAAGGAGAGATGGGATAAAAGGTAGAGGGAAAAATCCAAAGAGAGGGAGAGAGATGGGACATGTAGTGGGGGAGGGGCCGGTAATTTTCCGTTCTGCATCGCAGGAGCCCATGGTTTGCAGTCTGAGATCATAGTTCTGACATCATCACTGTCAATCACACCGAAGCCCCACCCTGTGCTCCAGTTCTGCTGAGGACAAGAGTCACTGTGACAACAACCGCAGACACAGTCATGCTCTTTATAGAGTGAGTGGTATATATGTGTGTTTGTGATAGTTTGCTTATATGAGCAGAGGTTGCTCATTTGATATTTGTTGACCAGCAGTATGAATAAGAGTGTCAACAGCAAAGGTTTCATTACAGTCCTGCACTGACTCTGGCTTGTACAGAGCATTAAATTGATTTCATAAGCACATTACTAAGATACAGTTCGGCTAATTGCTTTACATTTTAGTAATGTGCCTTAATGCAAAGAGGTCCACTCGTATGAAGAGAAACTCAATTCAACATCAGTTGTGCTGCAGGATAGATTTATTATTCACAATATATTCTTTTGCAGTGAAATAATTAAAAAAAATATTTTTCAAGACCATGTCATTAGAACATTTTCCTTCCAATTCGTCCTTGTATCATGACTTGCAAGAATGAGAACGTGAAAGTAAAGAATTTAGAATTGCATCTGTTATGCAAATGTTAGTTTTGGCAAATGGTACATTTCAACTCTTTGTCCATCAATCAGTTCAAATCAATTAATTTGTAACTCTGATTTAACAATTCGTTTGCAGCATCATTTTAAAAAGAATCTTTATTGCATGATTATCTTAGCACAGAATATTTATTGTTTTTAGCCTTAAACATTTAGAATAAAATGGGCAATAATAGCTGTTTGGTTAGGGTTATGGTCCCCCTGACTCCCTGACGTGAGTTTAGAGCAAAATAAACCATAAAATATTGATTATTTTTTGCTCCATCATTACCCATTCGTAGTTATGTCCTACAGTTATGAGCTAAAGCACATGATTCATTGGCACAATCATTGACCAGTAGTTAATCAAGTAACGTGTCTTTTGTTCCCTTTACTCCTCTGTCTCCCTCACTTCCTCTCCAAACACGCGCCATAATGTTTACATTGCGATCTTGGCACTTAGTGTCTTTTCTTATCCCTTCATCTTCAGGTTGTCATAACAACCAGGCTCTGTTTCTTTAAAACCAGCCAATGCTGCATTTTGCCACACCCACACACGGAGTGAGAGAGAGACAGAGAGAAAGCAAGAGGGGAGAGAAAACGGGAAAGAGCATGCGGAGTCTGTGTGAGCAGAAAGGGTGTGGTGAGCTGGTATGGTAAATGAATAGAAGAGAGACGGTATATTTAGAGCATGTTGAAAAAGAGGGAATAAAAGGGGAAGCAGGTGGCATCAGGCAAACAAATGAGGGTGTCGGGAAGACAATAAAAAACCTGATTTGCTGAATTAATTCACTCTCAGGAGTGTGAGTGGAGAAACAGCAGCCGCTGGGAGTTTAGCCACTGATTAAACATGACAGAATTTATCATAGGCCCATTGAGAGACAGAGAGGAAGAAAGAGAGGGAGAGACGAGGAGCAGGAAAAGATGATGAAACATGGGTGGCACCAGTGGTGCTTTCAGGATGTAAACCCTGATTGTTTTTAGTGAAAGCCCAGAATGATGTTGTTGTTTTTTTTTTTGTTTTTTTTCTCAATGTAATGAACTTTGCAAAGGTTGGCAAACTAAGCAGCTATTTTTTTGTCCCTGATGCACTCATTCAACAACCTTCTAAATAAAACAATAATCTTGCAGCAACCCAACTGTTATGTGTACTGTGCTGTTAATGTACAAAACTATTAAAGAGTGAAAATAATTGTTTTTCAAAACTGTAAATAAAGAGTTTTGGAGTCCATCTTGCAATAAAGGACTATTTTAGTATTTTTACTTTAAAATCTTATGTTTAAATCAATGTGGGGTTTTTTTCTTCAGTTTTTGTAATTATTTTTGAAATTTACTAGTAATTTATTTATTATTATTATTATTTTAGCTTTTTTAAATACATGAATACAGAGGTTAATACAATATTAAAAGTGCTGCTTCTGGTGCCTTTTCGCTTGAAAACACTTACACTATGCTATTATAATGTTTCAGCATTCATTCTGAAATGTATATATACCGTTATTTATCTGTCCTAAGCCCTGAATGTCCACTGACTCTAGAACTGTCCTTGTAGGGTAAGCAGCAAAAAGAAAAGAGAAAAATAATGGAAAACCTGGCTGCTTGATTTATTCTGGCTTTCACACACATACACAGCATTTATGGGGTTCTCAGTAGTGGCTTTGCAGCTCTGTCTGTGCAGAGGACTACTGAGGCTTGTCTGCATTGCCTGATAGCTTTGTTTCACCTCTACAGGCGTCTTTTTTTAGAATCAGGCTTCTGAAGGGCAGCCAGTGCTGAGGCAGCAGTGTTTATCAGGGTCCCAGAGGTTGACTTGTTTTGTGTTTAGTAAAATCATGGACTGTTCTCTGACGGAGAAATGTAATGGAGGAGAAATTACACGTGCTTTGGGATCACAGATCCAGGGATCACGTTGGTTTACAGAAGCAGAGAGCGTTTTGGCTGTGTTTAGCTATGCCTGCAGAGAATAGAACAGAGAATTCTGAATGTTTTATTTATTCTGCTGTCCCTAAAATGTCCTTTTGAAGATGAGCTAGAAGTTTGAATGCTTTTTTTAAAATCTAGGCTATGATTAGTAACGCCTGTCTTGGGAGTTTTAATTATTAGAGAAAGAATTAAAAAAATTGTTCTGACAATGATTCAATTTAATTACAGTTCTTTAAAATAAATTCTTTTTTGAAGTTGTAAATAAAACGGATTATTTGAGTATGTTTTACAATAAGATACAATTTCAGTTTTTTCTACTTAATGTAATGTTTAGTTTCTTGGTGTTTCTTTGTTACTGTCAAATTTGCTAACAATTTCTGAATGTAAATTGTTTCTACACATTTTTTTTAGTGCATACTTTGATGTTTACCAATGTAGAACGATAGAAAGAAGATACATATATTTTGCCTTCTCACTCACTTCTCACTTGCCTTTAAATTTTCATTTTAAATTTAAATAGTTTCATGATTGGTCAGTATGTGTCAGTTTATTCTACAGTAAAGCCATTATTTAAGGGTAGCTGAGAAGGAAAAGATGAAGGGAGAATAGGTTGTTTTAAAAATAGATCACACTGCAGGATAAACATGGAAATGTCATGATTGGTCAGTATGTGTCAGTTTATTCTACAGTAAAGCCATTATTTAAGGGTAGCTGAGAAGGAAAAGATGAAGGGAGAATAGGTTGTTTTAAAAATAGATCACACTGCAGGAGAAACATGGAAATGTCTGGCAGACATAAGTATTGAGGATAAGAGCATAACAATGTTTAGAGATGAAATTTGCAAAAAGGGATTTTTTTATTCCATCCCATTGCTGCTTTGCCTCATGATGACATGCATTCTGATATGAGTTATGCAGACCTGCAGTTCTTCTTTGTACCCATAGAGGTCTGACTTTACCCATCCTCTGTTTGACAACGTCCAGTTCATGCTGACACACCCAGAGTATTTTCTTCTTCTTGGTCTTTCAGCCTATATCTAATTAATATTCAGGTCTCCTAGAAATAAAATAGTAAAGGATGATAGACAAAAAAAATAAATGTTAGGAGAGGAAAAAGCTGAACTTTATTAAACGTGATATTGATATTTTTATGTGTAGCTTATAATATAGCAAAGTTTTAATCTATACAAATATCCAAAGTTGTTTACAAATGTAGAATTTAATTAGATATTTTTTTTAGAGAATTCTATATTTATATAAAATATTTATAGAATACCTCATACATTTTTAATTAATTATATTAATTTATTTTTATTTTTAATAAAACATTTATTTAACATTAATAAAAAGTCAAATGTTACATGAATATATTTCTATAACAAACATATATGGCTTGATATTTTCATGTAGCTTATACCATTGCAAAGCTTTAATCAATACAAATATCCAAAGAGGTTTACAGTAAATTGTACAATAAAAACATAGAATTTGATTTAAATGTTGAGAAAATATATCTAATTGTGTCAGTTATTTAAAGAATTGTTTCTATAACAAACGTCTATGGAAATATCCAATTAGATACACATAGTAGTAAAAATAAATAAATAAATAAATAGTTTATTGAATAGAGCATGGTGGTCTTCTGTTGATGTCATCTTTTACTGTGAATGATGAGTGCAGTGAGGTCATCGCTCATGGCCCTGAGCAGTGTGACAATGAAGAGGGAAGCCCCAGTCAAACAGAAGTCACAAAACTGACTCACACAAATTTTTTAGACAGACAAAACTGACTCACACACTCCCATAATGACCCTCATTTTATAAAGACACGTGAGGACAATTCAACACATGAATTATAGAGAAGTCACTCTCATAAACGTTTCTACTCACTCACCTCTAACAACTGTGTGACAGTCTAAAAGCTGGGCCTGCAAAGCTCTGTTCTGCATAACAGCTATTATTGCAGTCTAATGAATGTCTTATTAAAGGGGCAATAACTGCACTGTAATGACCCAGCGTTAATATTTCAGAGTCATCTTTCCATCCATCTTTCCATCTTTCCATCCATCTATCCAATTTTAGTAAAATGGTTAATCCTGAAAGTTTATTTGCTTTTGTGTTTTAAAGCAAAAAAAGTGGTCTCAGACTTGTGGATGCCACTGCATGTAAGTAATGTGTGTATGTCCTGTTTACATCTAGAACAGCTAAGAAAATCTGAGGAAGTTGAAGTTAAGGTGTAAACCTTAACGTTGTACAGACAAATTTCAGAGTAAGTGAATAAATGGTTTAGGGTGGTCGATGAGAATTGCAGAATGAAGGGTTTGATTTGTTAATAAAAAGCTCCTAATATAGAAATATTCAGCCATTGCATAACATTTAAGACAGTGATTTGCATGAAATTTGGCTTCAGAAGGAGCAAAACAGCATATTTTTGTTGAGTCTGAAAAGTGTCCGTTTGAGCAGAAAGTAGGAGAGATAACTTAATCTAAAACCCCAAGAGAGGGGGAAAACAATTAGCAGCAGACAGCAGATGGATGCAGTTCCAACAGGTAAGACAGGGAGATGTCAATGTTGTACAAATGCATCACAGCACAATGAGAGAAAAAACGACAGTGAGAGAATGTGTGTGCGTGTACATGCTAGACAGACCTCGAAAGAAAGGCCAGGTGTTTGGATCAGCTTGCGTGCATAATTGGCGAGATTATCACAGATTTTTTTTCTTCCTCCTCTTTGAAATGGGCATAAACAGCCGTGTGTGTCCCACGGGGAGCGTCTGTGAAATGTCAGGGCAGAGCAGTCAGAGCTCACCTTTACTGAGCAAAATATAAAAGAATACATTTTGTGACTTTGAATGTGCAAAGAATATTTTTGTAAATTGAATAGTTGTCTGTGGTTTTCTTTTCACAGTTTGCATCGAATGTTATAGATTACATTTTTAATATAATTACATATAAATTTATATATAAAATATTTTTAAATGAGGCAAGTCACATCTGCAGTATAAATAGCTCTAATTCAATATACAGTTCGATTGGCAGTGTTGCGAATTTGTTGCTGATATACACACAAGTTCTGTGACCTATTGCTTATTATTATTTTTTTAAAGATTAAATATCTCTCTCTCTCTCTCTCTCTATTATATATATATATATATATATATATATATCACGCCTCGTCGTGACCCGTGTCTGAAGCATACATTGAAAAAACACTGAAAAAATGGCCGGCGAGATGTTCCCTTTCATGGGAACTTCGAACTGCGTCCTCTAGGGGTCGCTATGGGGAACGGTATACCCACGCCACCATGCTGAGGGGAGTGCATGCCAGAAACCATGGCGAGCACTAAGTACCAACTCTACCATTTTGCCATGGGAGTTGCCCCTGGGACGTTAGACGGCTGTCAGTGACCTCTCCCGAGAGGGGGCTCGACCTGCAGCATGATTGTAAAATCAGAAGGGTAAGCATACTGCAAGCTAGCCAAACACTCAGCGCATCAGGGAGGCAGAGGAAGGGCCTAATTCACCTGATGCTGCTGGTTCCTGGTGCTCTGGAGAAACAGAGAACTCAAACTTCTCATGTGAGAGGAGAACTCCGAATTCAGAGGAATAGCGTTGCTCATTCCAGGTAACCCTTTGATAAAGGGGAGCACTGCTCAATACTACCACGAGGACAGCCCATGGAGCGAGGAATCCAACTCCTCAGAGAGGATTAACGCTCGAAAGAAAGCACCATACTCACAATAACCCTCACTGGTGAGGGGAGCGATGCTTCCAGAGTGTGTCGACAGAGACACACTAGTTGAGTGGAGCCCAAGGTACCGGGGTCTAAACCAACTCAGAGAAAGGGAACGAGATCAATAACGCTTAACCCTTACCATACAGGATTTTAGAAAAGTGGGCAAAGCATAACGTGCACACTTACCACTTATGTGGATTTTAGAAAGTGGGCAAAGCATTACGTGCACACTTACCACTTATGTGGATTTTTAGAAAGTGCGCAAAGCTTAACGTGTGCACTTACCATAGTATTTGGATTTTAGAGTTTTCCAAGCATCTGTTTACAGATACCCGGAAGTACTGAGCCAAACGGGAGAGGCAAGCTCAAATACAACCCTCTAAGGTGAGGGGAGCACTGCCTGAGACAGCATTACACAAGAAGGCTCTCGCAAATGCCACCTATACCTCCCGCTCAATGCCTCAGCAAAAGGGGATATCCTGGTGATCGGGAGGCAACTCAGGGCGACCTAGATATGGTAGACCAGACAGGGCAGCCTGAAAGCATAAGCCCAGCCCAGATGTCCAGGAAATTTTTGCAGTGCCGTGCCGGGGGCCTAATGATCAAGAAGGATCCCGTAGAAGCCTGTGACCTGGCCGCATAATCCAGGAAGTATGAAGCCGAAACCCGGCTTATCGTACCGTCTGGACATATATCGACGAGTGAAATAAACACTGCAAGTCGAGCACCCGGTTTCTGAACCCAGCAGAGGGGGTGCTCATCAAGGACCTACCCTAGAAAAAGGACAGAAACACACAGGTCCCGGGAAACACTGCAAAGAAAGCTAGCAGAAGGATATACACAACCACCAGCGCATTAAATACACACACATATATATATATATATATATATATAAATATA